CCCGGACAACACACACCTCCAGGGCTGGAGTCACTGGAGAGAGATCCACACAGGGAGTCCATCTGGTTGGCGTTGTTTGCTCTCTTTGCCGTGCTAGAGGTGGGACCCAGGGTCCCCAGCCGCTAGGCAGGTGCTTACCTGAGCCACGCCCCCTGCACAGGCTTCCTCTCCCTGAGAAATGGAGTCTGCATTTGGGGGGACACATGCCCCTGGGGTGTGGCAGCCTCCTTGAAGCCAGGTCTCCCGATCCTCTCTGCATGTGTCCCCTCACCTGTCTGCACCGTGGAGCACCCACCTATGAAATGGACAGGGTGACATTCAGCTGTCATGGGCCCACGTAGCACACAGCCTGGTCCCTGGTACACTCAGGAATTGGCAACGGCCCCTTTATGTCAACCCAGATGGATGGAGGCCAACCCAGTTGGATGGAGGCCGGGGGTCTGGAGATGATGTGAGAAACAATGATCTCACCTGCTGGTAGAGCCCCCGGCAATGGCGGGAGAGGGCTGGGGACCCTGCATTGCAGAAAATACCAGTGTTATTAAAATAAAGCTATCCTTAGCAAGAGCAGCGCGGTGGACTAGAAGCCAAAAGTCACATTTGCCTATTTTTCAGAAGATAAAACTGAGGTTTAGAGAGGGGACAGTCACCTGGCCTTGCCCGGAACAGAACCTCTCAGAAAAAATCAGCAGAGCTTTTCCAAAGTTTCTGCCTCCACCAAATTCGCTCCAGCCCCCTCCCTCCTCCCACCATGCCAGATCCTACCCAGTGCACTAAAGCTCAGGCATCCCACGGAGTGTCCCTGCAGAGAATCCCAAATGCCTCTGAGAGGAGCCCGGTTTTCAAGAACCCGGGAGAAGCAGCAGCGGGTTCGGTGCAATGCCGCCATCTTCTGACCACTCCTGTGAACTACAAGTCCCGCTGGGCCCCTGAGCGTCTGCAGCAGGCGTTGGGACTCGCCGCTCCAGAAGCCTCCCAAGGGGGGACGTTGCGACAGACTGAACACAGAAGGAGATATCATAATCCACCTGAGTCCGCCTTCTACCAAGGCATCCATTAAAGAGATTTGTCAAGAAAAAGCAATGTTGTCGGCTCACTAAATGTGTTTTGGAAAGTAGTTATTTTTCATAAATCATGTTTTATTCATGTAACTATGCAAGGGGTTTATTATTGTTATTGTTGTTTTCATGAATTAATGAATGAGTTTTTTTGAAGCATCTGTCTTAATCTCTAATGAGGTATACTCTCTCTATCCGGATTTCTTTGGTTCATACCTCCTGTCTGTATCTAGTTGCTCTTATTTGGGGGGGGGGGGGGGGGTTACCAGGGATTGACCTCAGGGTCACTCAACCACTGAGCCACATCCACAGCCCTTTTTTTGTATTTTATTTAGAGACAGGGTCTCACTGAGTGGCTTAGGGCCTCACTAGGTTACTGAGGCTGACTTTGAACTTGCGATCCTCCTGCCTCAGCCTCCCAAAGCACGAGGACGACGTGGGCCTTAGTGCCCGGCTCTAGTTGTTCATTTAATACCATCATGATGGCAAGCTCCACAAAGGTGACGCCTGCTCATGGCCACACCTGGTTAACACAGAGTAAGGGTCAACTATGTTTTGTTGATGGATGAAAAGGGGAAGTTAGTGGAGCCTTGTGCGTGGACAGTGGCCATGCCCACTTGAGTAGCCATTTGCCATGTGGTAAGAGAGGAAAGGGGTCCTGAGGCCCAAGGGTCTTGAGAAGTGCTGTGAGGGAGTGCTCTGGGCGAGGTGGTCAGGGAGCCTTCTCTGAGCAGATGGTGTTCAGTTGAGACCTGAGACCACCAAGTTGCCAGCCACGTGAAAAGCCCAGACACGCGTATTCAGGGTGAGGTGTGCAAACAGTGCTCAGGAGAGAACCAACGTGTGCATTAGTGTAGCCAAGGGCCCCCCCAGCCAGCACCCCAGGGCCTGCGATGTCCATCATGGAGGAAGCTCTTGGGAGACAGCTTCTGGGTGAATGCAGGGAAGGAAAGAGAGAGGGAAACGACGTGAGAAGACCCTGGCGGGCAGCTAAGAGCCACTGGGGGGAGGAGGAGGGAGCTCCTGTGGAGCCAGGCATCTTCTTGTCCCTCCTTCAAGGGCAGGAGGGTCTTGAAGGTGCCCTCAGTAGTTGCACTCCCTCTCAGGAGAAGCCCATAGGCAGACAGACACCCCCCCCCCAGATCACCAAGCAGGACAGTGGCAGACTTGAGCCACAGCCCAGGACAGGTGTCCATTTCTGCTGCACAAGATCCCAGAGGCCTCGGGCTCTGGGAGCTGATGCGTGGACACCTGTGTGTGCCCAGGCCCTGGGGGCTGTGCTGGATGCTCCCAGTTCTGCTTCTGCCCCCACCCCAGGCTCCCTTCTCCCCCAGTCCAGTGTCCACTGCTTCCCCCAAACCCCTGGCCTCTCTCCCTCCTCCACCCTCCAAATGGGAGGCACTTGCTTGCCCTGGCCCTGGGTTCGGCCATCCTAGGAGGTTCCCAGATCTTCTGACCGTGCCCCCAGCCCAGCCACCCTGGTCAGCCCCTGCTCTTGGCTCAGGCTGTGACCTCCTCGGGAACTCCGGCGAATCTTGAAGGAGCCGCTCCAAAATTCCCTGCACCACCAGAGCTGCTTCGTCTCCGTCCACTGGCTTTTCTCCCAGCCCCCAAGGCTTCCCTCAAGGGCCCCCTCTTCTGGGAGGGCCTCCCTTCCCGCCCAGCTTCTCCCCACCTCCCCCTGACCACCTTCTTACTTTTCATTGTACTGAAATACGTGTAACATAAGAAATGCCACCTTAACCATTCTTGAGTGAATCATCCAGTGGCCTCCACCCTGATGCTGACCTAGAATGAGGTTTCAGCGGAACCCTGGGAGGGCATCAGGCCCTGTCTCAGCTCTGGGGGAGCCCTTGTGAGCCTCCGCGACAATCCTACCAGGTAAAAGGGCAGCCCCCATGTCCAGGTCAGAGGGAGACTCAGAGGGGAGGAGGAACACCCAAGATCTCACAGCATGGATTCAGCTGAGCACAAAGTTGAGGTACTAAAAAATAAAATAAAATAAAGGTGGCCCACACCTGTCATCCCAAGGGCTCAGGAGGCTGAGGCAGGAGGATCTCGAGTTCAAAGTCAGACTCCGCAAAAGCCAGGCGCTAAGCAACTCAGTGAGACCCTGTCTCTAAACAAAACACAAAATAGGGCTGGGGCTGGGGCTCAGGGGTTCAGCAAATCGCTTAAATATTTCAATTACCAGGAACCAAAAATAATTTTTTTTAAAAAAATCAAAGCTGCTGAAGGCTGAAGGACAAGGCGAATATACTTAATATACTTACTGGACGATTCACTCAAGAATGGTTAAGATGGTGAATCTTATGTTACACACATTTCAGTACAATTAAAAATAAGAATAGGGGGCTGGGGCTGGGGCTGAGTGGTAGAGCGCTTGTCTCATATGTGAGAGGCACTGAGCTCAATTCTCAGCACCCTATAAATAAATGAATAGAATAAAGGTCCATTAACATCTAAAAAAATATTTTTAAAAACTAATAAGAAATTTAAAAAATAAAAATAGGTGCTCCGTTCTAAGAATTTCAAAGGTCACCGTCTCAAGAGCCTGGCTCTCCCACAGAGCCCGCCCCCGCCCTCGAAAATGCCACCGGCTGCCCCTCCCACCCAGCCCACGCCCCCCCTCTGTCGCGTCCCCAGCCTTCCTCTGGGTGGGACTCGACCTTTAATATCAAAATGGTATTTTACACAAAAGCTGCTACATTCGTGTGACAGCCCAAAAAACAAGTGACGCCAAGGCCGGATCCATGCGAGAATCTGATTTTTAATCGACAGCAGAATTTCGGGGCCCACATTCACAGGTGAAGACGCCGAACCCCAACACATCTTCCCGTCTCCGGAAGTAAAACAGCGGGTCTCGGGGAAGACTCTGGGGGGCCACTCTTGGGGACGGGGGTCTTTGGGCTCCTCTGTGGCCATGGGACCCACCTCCCCCTCTGAGCACCCCCCACTGACACCAGCACGGCCCTCAGGCAGGTCAGGTGGGTCCTTCCTAAACACAAACGAGGAAGGACAGCGTCTGCCTGGGGGCCCAGTCCCTCCCTCAGAGTGCGGTCACAGCAAGCCCGATGGGAGGGGACCTCAAGGCAGAGTGGACGGAGACAGGTCGAGGATGTGACTGGTTGGGCTGTGGCCTCTGGCATTAGCCAAGGGGACACACACACACACACACACTCCTGGACTCCACTCCAGGGACAGGAGCTTCATTTTACCCACTGAGATGTGTTTTCTCCTCTGGGACCAGGATCAGCCTCCTGGACACTGTCAACATCTGCCTCCCCTCCCTGGGCACAGCCACCCAAGACAAACGGGCTCCCTCCCCCACAGACTCCCTTGTAGATTTGTGACCCGCCTCCGTGTCCCCCCAGATCTTCTCCCCGGGCCACAGGACGCCAGGCATGTCAAACTGTTTTCAAACTGCTCCTCCCAAGTCCTCATGGTCACCTGGGTGCTGTGTGCTTCTCAGTCATCCCAGAAAAACTACCTCCCGCTGGGTATGCGCGGTGGCTCCTGTGTATCTCCAGGGGGACCCAAGGGTCCCCGGGTCTGCCACAAAGTGGGCAGAGCTGTGCTGCACTCCTTGGAATCCCACCTGGGAGGCACCACCCAGGGGCGGGGCAAAAGCTGGACCGCCCACTCCGCGTCTCAGACGAGGCTCCCCAGTGACGACATCCAGGTGTCCTGGCATCAAGACCTGGCACCTGCCCATTCCCCCCTCCTGCCTCTTTGGATCCTCCCTGATCCCGAGCTTGGGGTCCCCCAGTCCTGTCTGCCGGAACCCGTCCCCGCCCACGCCCCACCAGCCGGGGTCCAGCTCCCACGGCTCGCTCTCGGAAAGCCCACCCTGACTGCCACAGCCCGGAGTGTCCCCAGCCCACCCCGCCCTCTGAATCCATCGCACCAGAACCCAAGGGCCTGATGACAAGCCCCGCTGACCCTCCCCGCCCCACGCCCAGATCGGGCCCTGCTGAGCCAGGCAAGCACCGGCGACAAGGCCCGTGTGCGGTCCCAGCACCCAGGTCCTCAGCAGCCTCCGGCCCCTGAATTTGAATAAAGAGGGGCTCCCCGCGGAGCGGGTGTTGAACAGGAAAGGTTTTCTCTGCTTCGTGCTTTGGGTGAAACGGGGCGGAGCAGCCGCTAGAGGGCGCAGGCGGTGCTTCCCCGTGCAGGGCTGACCAAGGCACCTCCTGAAGGCTCTTCCTGAGGCCTCTGTCCTGTGTCCTCTGCAGCTCTGGCCTCTGGATCTCCCTTTGGGCCCCATGGTCAGCTACACATGGCCAGCTGTGAGCCTGTGGCCATGGCAGAGAAGCCACGCACAGCATTCATGGACCCCAGCCACACGTCTGAAGGCCTCTAGGCCACTCTAGGACACTGTCCCTGAGCGCCATTCCTCCAGGCCACCATCTGTCCTCTCCCATCAACGCTGACTACCAGAGCGAGGCAGCACAGACTTGCTTCCCATTCCCATCTTCACCTGGTGGCACCTTCACGGCTCCCCATCTCTGATCCCAAAGAACCTTCCCCGCAGCCCTACAGAGATCCAAACTCCCTGCCAGCCAAAGACCATCTCCTCCTGTGGCTATCTTGCTTTACAATTAGGTTGGAAGAGTTGGAAATTAGAAGATGCCGAGCTAATTTACACTAAGGTGTAAATGGCTGATAGAAGTATGATCCTTCTGAATGCTTCTATCTGAAGCTTTATGCCTAGGGCTAACCCTCAAGTCCTCCAAACAGGGACTGTAGGCCCTAATCTGATGACTGATGGCTTCATACGTAACAACACACTCTCTGTACCCCCAAACACGTTTTAAGGTTCAACTTGTATAGACTGTGTGACTACTGTTTAAAAGGACTGAAACCAAACAGATTATGAGGGGTTAATAGAATGTATCCCGTGGCCAAAACATTGGAAGGCCGACTATACATCTAACCCCACCTCCATGGGCTACCATCGCCCCATGGGGCCTGGGCCACACCCTGTCCCTGGCATCTCCTTTAGAGAACCAGGAGCATTATTCACACCAAATGCCCTGACCTAGAGAGGTCACCGAGAGCGACATCACCAGCTGCACCTAACACTGTGTTAGTCAAGTTCCAAACCTGGGTTAGCCCCTAGCAGCCATGCTGACACCAAGCTGTTAATGGTAACAGTGAGGAGAAGGGTTAGACCCGTTGTTAGTCCAAGAGGGATCCACAAGCCATTAGTTTCTGCTAAAAGGAACAGACCAGGGAGGCAGGAGTTAGTCAAGGAGAAGGAGAGGTGAGCTGAGAGCCGGCCAAAGCCAGGCCCGGAGCCTGGAGCCGCCCCACCCCAAACGATGGGCAGGGCTGGCTGTTAGTGGTCAGCCCCTGGGCAGCCAGGACCAGGCAGGGATTAGCTGGGCAAGAGCAAGAGTTAGTGCAAGAGACCAAGGTGCCTACTGGAGGTGAGGCATGACGTCACCCCCAGGTGTGGCCCTGGCTTAGCAGCTGGCGGGCTCTGGGGGAGGCTGGCTGGGGCCGGGGCTGGGCAGGAGCCGGGGATGGCGTCCCTGGGATTCCCTCCTCTGCAAACCCCAGTCCTTGCAGGCCCGCTTTCCTAACCACACGGCAGCTGGCGCCCCCGAGCTTCTGGGTGTGGGGCAAGGTCCTTCTGCAGCCTCACTCCCCCTCCCTCCTGCCATGGAGAGAGGCCGCTCTAGCTGACTTCCTAGGGGAAGAGGGCCCTTCCGCTGGCTGCTGACCAGCCTTCTCCAGCCTCGTGGTCAGGGAAGCCCTCTCTCTGACTTCCTGTCCAAATTCCCTGGGGACGCCTCCCTCCCTGACGTCCTGAGCCCTGAACTCTTCCCTCGGTGACCTTGCAGTGTGGGAAGACCCTCTCCACTGCCTTCCTCTTTAGCAAGGTCTCAGCTGGCTGACTTCCGCTGTGGACGCTCCCTTCTGTCGGCTACAGGTTGGGACAGGCCCCTCTGCTGATTTCCGAATTGGGTCATGAGCCCCACCCTTGATTTCCTGTGCGAGATGGTTCCCGCCCAATGGAAAGTTCTACCTGGCCTCCTTGCAGGGAAGGACACACAGGCCCCTTGTCCCGACTCTCGCCTGGGGAAAGCCCAGACCTGCACACTCCAGACCCACAGGCCTCCACACTCACACCCAGAGGGCTCCCTGGCCCGCCCCTCCCAGTGGCAACCAGACTTCTCAACAGAGGAGCAAGGTCGTGCTCAGCCCAGCCTCCCACGGCCCAGGACCACCTCAGCCTCCTCTGGGCCATGTCCAAAAGACCGTCCCCTGCCTTTGACCTGGCCTGGTGGACTCTGAGCTCCCATGAAGCCAACATGGGGCAGCAGAGAGGGACATCTGCTTGCCAAGAGGAGGGGGACCAGCCCCCAGTGGGGGCCCAGAGCTCGGCAGGGCTGGGTTAGTAGAGAACGGGTTAGTAGGGCCGGGTTAGTAGTCAGAGCACAGCACCAGCGCACAGGGCACCTCAGCAGACAGACACGGGAGCCGCTAGGAGAGAAAGGGGGACACACACAGGTTTAGAGCTCGAGAAGGGGCATCGGGGTGCAGCAGAGGCACCCCCAGGTTAGACAAGTTAGTAATCAAACAAAAGAGCCGTCTACAAAAGGAAAGCTGGGAGAGAGAGGAGGAAGTGGGAAGGGACGTGCCCAGCCCCGGGCAGAGGGTCTCTGTGCAGAACACCCAGAGAGACCAGACCAGGCGGGGACGTGATGGGGTCTCCGGAGCCTCCCACCCCCACCCCACCCCCACCTTTTTTTATTTTTTAAGTATCTGCCGTGCACCGAGGCTGCCATATTGGTGAGCACCCTCACTGTAACCAGCAAGGGAAGAACTGGGGTGTGGAGGAAGCGGTAGAGCTGGTTAAGGCCTATCTGCACGCCCCGTCCTGCACCCTGGGTCTGCACAAACACCCCAGCCCGGGCAGGGACTTCCGGAGCCTCGTCTGCACCCATGTCCCAGCCCCTGAAAAGGCCCATGAGCTGCACGGTTAGTAGGGTCTGGCTGCGGGGTTAGTAGGGCATGCTCGGGCCTGGTTAGTGGGTTAGTGGTTGGGCAGAAGGCCAGGCACCTCATCACACGCCACAGCATCCCGGCCGAGCCCTGGGTTAGTAGGTTAATCACACCATGCCATGCTGCCCGGGGCCTCCTGTGGCGCTCCAGGGCCTCCTGACCCCACCAGCCTGGGCATGGGCCTGACCAGGGCAGGGGGTCTGCCACCTCGCCCCTCCGCCCCAGGATCTAGCCTAGCCACCCGGACCCTGCCCCAAAGCATCACGAGTCCCTATTTCTTGTCTGTGGGTCTCAAAGACCGTCTCCCCCCAAACATTTTCAGTTCCCCTGAAAATGGACCCTGCTGTTCTGAGTGGAAACCCCCTGCCTTGATATGGTCAGCCCCTTCCCAGAGAGCTGATGTGTGAGCACACGTACACACACACACACACACACACACACACACCAGCGTCCTTCCACAAAAGGTCTGACCTCCCATAACCACCCTGTTTGGTGGACGTCTCTTCCATCACCAGCTGCCAGGCCCCTGGCTGCTCCCAATGCTGGTCTGCCCCCGCCTCACCCCTACAAAAATGGCATCAACCTTGGCCCCGGAACCAAGTTCAGACTCCCCAGACCCTCCCCGTCTGCATGCTTTCCAGCCAAATTTCAAAGCACCCGAGTGTACCCTAGTCATGTCATGTCCTGTCCCCACTCTGTCTCCCCGCCAAAACTCAGCCTGACATCTCCCACAGTCCTAATGATGCTCTGTGAGAAAAGAATTCTGTGGCCGGGGAAGTCAGGGAATGCTTCTTCTATGGGCTCCTTGAATATCTGAGGTCCTCATTAACATCGTCAAGGCTCTGTTGAGTCCTGCTGTCACAATGGAGAATCTTTCTCTAGTTTCTCCCTAGAAGTTCTCAGATAAGCCACAACTTTCTCACCCTCCAAGGCCCTGGCTTGCTAGGAAGCCTAGCCTCTCCAGCCTGTAGCCCCTCACTCCCATTCCACCCCACCTCTGGGAGCTCAGAGCGTCGGCCTCAACAGACTCCATTATGACATGGCCAGCCCTCCAGTTCCCCATGGGAGCTGGCTGTGTCCCTCCTGCATCATGACTAGGAAATCCTAAAGGTTGGACCCATAGCCGATCTTGACCTATCGTCCCCCAAAAGGCTGGCACAAGAAAGAGCCCAAAGTAGGTGTTCAATTCGAATGAAAGGAATTTACCCCAGGAAACGCAGCAAGCTACTTTGGAGGCCATGAAATGTGACCCCATCCCAAGCTGCTTAGAAAGGGGTATTAGGGAAGCAGGCAGAGGAACATGGAATCAGAAATGCTTCTGGATCAGAAGATGCCGAGTTTCACCGTCGGCCATGCCAAGATGAGTCTGATCCTAAATCTAGATGGGCTGGAGTGTTTATTGAGCACCTACTAAGGGCTCCCACACTGTGCCAACACATTTGAGTGCTCCTGGTGCAGAGGGCTCACGCTGCCAAGGTGACCTGCCCATGGCTGTACAGCAGGGGGCGCACCTGAGAACCGATCTGCCTTCAAGACCCAAGCTCTCCTGGAGCCATCGCTCCTTCCTGGGCATCCCTGCTCCCTGCCCCGGGTCCATCTAGTCCTGCATGTCCCGAGGCATCCGCGGCCCACCCTAGCACAACACCTGCCTGCTCATCTCCTGCCTGCGGGGGTGGGCATTCCAAAAGGCAGATGACCCCTGCTTGTGCTGACCACCCTGTTCTGGAACTCAGAGGTGTCTCTGAAACAACCAGGCTGAATCCCTAACCCCTCAGGTGTTCCTGTGTTTGGCGACAGCACATTTAGATACAATTAAGGTGAAATGAGGTCACGTCATCGTGGGGCCCTGACTCCACAGGACTGGTGTCCTTATAGGAAGAGACGCCTGAGCTTGCTTGCTGTCCCTCCACAGAGAAGAGGCCATGTGAGGACACAGTGGAGAGGCCCCTTCCTGGACTTGCTCTTGAAGGCCCGGCCTCCAGCGCTGTGACATGGAACCTGTAGTCCCGCCGAGGAACCCGGCCACCTCCTGCCCTGGGAGGACAACTTCCGGCTTTTACCCTGGCCTAAGGGAGACCGGGAGGGGCTCTCCTGCAAGTGCTGGGTTCTCCCTCTGGAAGGGACTGCCATCAGACAGGCAAGGAGCCACTTGTCCCGCAAGCTTCCTCCGCCCCCAAGGACAGAATCCGGGAGCCCAGTGCAAGGACCCGGGAAGCCCTGGGGGCCTGAGCAGGCTTGGGGGAGGCTGGGCCTCCTTGGACGGAGGACTTGAATCCAGAGCTGTCTAGCGGTGTCCACAGGCTTCCCCGGCCTGGGTCTCGCTGAGAAGCCCTGTCATTTCAGGACACCCACGCTCTCCCAGAGACGGACACCCTACAGGGAAAGCACAGCCCCCCCCCCCCGCCTCTCTTCCTCCTCCCTGGAACCACGAGGAGAGGGAGAGACACGTGGAAAAGCCCAACCAGGAAGCACTCCCCAAAACGACAGTCACCCATGCGGAAAACACCCAAGGACCAAAAAGACTGCAGCCGGGGAGGCCCAGGAGCTGCGTCCAGCCTCCCACTGGTGACTGGCCTCCACACCCAGCTCACCCCACCCCCACCCTGCAGGGTCCTTTAAGACTGGCCCTGGGAGGGGGCCTTGCCCAGGCCCAGCTCTCTCGTGGAGGGGACTGGAGGTGAAATCCAGGGGCCGGCCCGCAGGCGGGAAGCAGATGAGAGTCCGCAGGGTCAGGATGGGGTCCTCAGCTGAGCATCTACCAAGAAGGGCTCTGATCCACCAGAGGCTCCATCCCAAGGGTAGGGAAGGCTGAGGTCTTTGAGCGATGGCCCAGCCTTGAGGTCACTGTAGCCAGGATGCAGAGTCAGGGCACCAAAGAGAAGAGCAGGTAGAGGAGCTGCACTGGGCAGAGCCGCCTGGGGAGGGGGAGGGGAGGGCGGGTTGCACAGCAGGGGAGGGGGAGGGGGAGGCTGCAGCCTCCACCCCAGCCCCACAGCCCCCAGCCCACCCTCCACCCAAGGGACACACATCCAGAGATCCTGCGGCTGATCCCAGGCTCCCAAAAGCCACAGAGGGTGGATGCAAGGGCTCTGGATGGTAAAATCTTTTAGAAGAAATTTAGGAAGAGGAAGGAAGCCATGAGTGACCCACTCCAGCAGGACAGGGGACCAGAGAAAGGCAGCACGTGGAGCCAGGCACATCCTGGGCAGGGAAGTGGCAGGGACAGGGAGGGACAGGGCCTTTGGGGGCCTCAGGTGGCTTGAATTCCCTTTACAAGGTTCCCAGGGGGCCTCTGCACACCGTGTCCCCAACACACCACACACCGCCCAGGGTGGGAGCTCACCCGGGAGATCAGAGAGGAGGGGCCGTGTCTCTGGTGTCCACCTCCGGATCCCAGCAGCCACTTGGAGAAGGCACCTGGCCCGCGTCTGTGCTGACTAAGGGAACCCGCAGGACCCGTGCCTGAGCCCACCTCGGGGGTCTCGGTTCATCCCCACCCAGCCCCACCAAGGCCCCCAGAACCATCTTCCAGCCCTGGCTCCCGGGCCTCCTCCCGAGCAGGAGAGGGAACTCAGACCCTCCCTTCCCCAGCGCCAGCCCTGCCCGGGCTTACCTGGCAGCACCCGGCCAAGGCCACGGGCTCCCAGCTCCTCCCCACGCTGACCCCACAGGCCCATCCTGGAAGACAAAAGAGCCACCCACACCGCAGGAGAGAACTGCACCCAGGCCCCCTCCCCAAGCCCAAGCCTGGCCACTCAGAGCCAGGGAGGCTGGGCCGCCACCTCCCTTCCATCCACCCCAGACATCCTTAGTGAGTACGGGAAGTGGGCAGTGACCCTGTCCCCACCTCCCCGCTCCCCAGGAGTACAGCTCAGAGGGAGCACGGGACAGAGGGCCCCCTGCCCTTCCGGGATGGGCCAGGCAGCAGGAGCAGCTTGGGGAGATCGGGGTGGAGGGGGGACGCCTGCAGGGCCACCCTATGTGCACAGTCTGGAGAAGGCCGGGGAATGCCCACTCGCCAAATCCTGAATTTTGCTTTTGGTACCAGCTGTGTGATCACCGTCAACCAGTGGCCTGAGCCAGGGGATCGGGGTACCCTCTTGGCGTATTTTCAGAGCTCACTGTGGCACCTGGGACTTGGGGCAGGCACCAGCTCAGACCTGGCACTAACAAGATGTGTCCCACGGGGACCGTGCTGCCGTCCACACTTCACTGCAAGGCCAAGGGCCCCTAGCCAAGCTCAGGAATGTGGACACCAAAGGCCACTGAGAAGATATGGGCCAGTCCAAATCGCCAGGAAGTCCCCAGCCCCCTACTAACAGCAGACCTACAGGGGCAGAGATGAAGTCATTTAAATCAGCTATATAAAAGCTCCCGACAGCAGGTTATAAAACACTAGCTCAGATGCAAAAGTGGGGTGTGAAAATCACCTTTTTTTTGAGGCCCATAAAATGGAACGAGCTCTTTCTTCCTGAAATAAAAGTAGAGCCTCCTCTCCTCTCTGACTTCCCCTCCCTCTTTGCGATTCTAGGACACTCCATTCTCCTACACAGACCAGGGAAGGCAGGTGGGGGGCTGGGGCTGGCTGGCCACGGGCTGGTAGATTTGAATACTTATCTGCAAGGCTGCTCTACCGTGTTGCCTGCCGCATCCTAGAGGGGCTCGAGATTCCCTTCTCTCCTCTCTGTCCCAGGAACTTGCTGCCACTCTGTAAACAGACCCCAAGCTGCTCAGAGGAGCACTGCTTGACCCACAGTCACCTTGGGCCCGGCCTGTGGACCCGGAATCCTTGATGTCATTAATGTTGTTAACACATCTGAGGTTTCAAGGGAGACTCATCTCCTGGGTTGAGCTGGGGCTGACCTGGAGAGGAGGTGAGCCGATCCTGCCTCCCCCACCCTACGGGCTCAGTCTGTAAGTCAAAGTGAATTATTGGAAAAGCTTGGCCAGTGCCTGGTACATAGGAGGGATTTCATTATTTCTACCAACCAATGATTTAAACTTTGAGTAGACCTTTGTGTGAGACTTCTGTTCCAGAAATAAGGACCATATTTCTCCTGGGGCATTATATTGCCCCCTAGGGACAGTTAGGAAGCACAAACCCATCAAATCCCCTACGAATGGGTAAGCGAGTGGTGGCCCACGCACACAGTGGAATCTACTCAGCAGCAGAAGGGAACAAATTACAGAAACATCGAGGGTGACATGGGGAACCTCCAAGCCTATGCTGAGCCTGAGGAGCTAATCACGGAAGATTCCACGTGTGGAGACTGGGAACAGTAAGTCAGGCCCAGAATCCCAGCAAGCAGATCAGTGGTCTCCTAGGGGTTCAGGGGGCCTGACAGGTGTGAGATGGGGACCCTCCAGGGTGATGTGCTTTATCCTGCTGTGGTGACAGTTACCCGGATGTACACACGGGTCAAAACACTCAGAAATGCATGCTTCAAATGGGAATCAGTGAGGCCATTTTTGAGGAACTTGTTTGTATGTGACGAAAGAAGGCTGGCCCTGAGAACTGTCACATCAGAGCCCATACAGAGCAGGTCGGCAGGGGAGCGTGTCATCTCACCTAGGCCACACGGATGGGAGCCCCCAGGGAGCCCATCGGGAAAGCCTGGTGGGAGGGGCTGCTACCCAGAGGATCACCAGAGACTCCCCTGCCTCTGACCTGACCTCACAGTGTGCAGCTGGCCTGCCACCCCCAGCACACTTGGAGGAGATGGAGGGTCACCTTGGGTACTCCTCAGATGCCACCAGGTCAGTGCGGCTGCATGAACGTGTCCAGAACCACGTGGGTGAGCAGGGAGAGGCCTCCAGCTGCCATTGAGAGAGAGAGGGACAGGAGTGAGCCAGTGATTAGGTAAGGTGGGAGAATAATGCACATTACTAATCCTTAACAATTATTAAAGCAATTAGTTAATTAGTATTAACTATGACATCACAGCATTTGCCAAAATTAATCCAGATGTGGGTCAAAAGCAAACAAAGGAACCCGAAAGATCTCTTGGTTGGGCCAGTGTCAATCAAAACATTAAACACACCTTGGGAGGTCCCCTGGGCCTTGTGTGACCTTGAGCAAACCCACCTGCTCTGAGCCTCAGTCTTCTCATCCACAAAACTGGGGCAGCCGCTCGGCCAAGGCTGCAGGAGCATCTAGTCAACGTGGGTCTCACCCCATGGCCAGCTCTCCTGTCTCTTAGGTCATGACCATGGTCCCCAGTGTTCAGCCCCATCATCGGGGAAGATCCTCCCTCCCCCAACCAGGGCCACTAATCTTGGGAACAAAAAACAGCACAAGGGAAGCATGCAGGGGCTGCATTTCAGGATCCCTCTGGGTTTGGGGCTTTTCCCCGACTCAGAGATCCGGCCTCCGAGCCCAGATTGCCTCAGAGGCCCAGAGACAACAGAGGCCCCCGAGTGAGGGGCCGGCTGGGGGACAGAGGCGTTTCTGCAGAGGAGGAGGAAGCCCCGGGGCTTTATGAACCCAAATGCACGGCCATCAGAGAGGAGATCTAAAATACCCTGCCTCCCCCCAAAAGAGGACCTCCAAAGTGAGGAAAGAGGAAGGAAAAACAAAATGGAGAGACAGGAAGTACACAGGCATCACCGGCCACCTTCATCTACAGGACGGGCCTGAGCGGGGAGGGCCCTGCTCCAAGGTCACCCAGCTAGAAAATGACTCAGCTGGGGCTCTAAAAAGACCCCCGGGACCCCAAAGGGGAAGAAAATAGGTTTGAATTTGGGGGTGGGGAGAAAAGGAGAAAAGATCCAAGTGAGGTCCCTACACCCCACAAAACCCAGGCCATAACCCTGCTGCTAGGAAACTGGCCCCGACCGCTAAGTCATCTGGGAGGATCCCGTTATTCCAGTGGCTTTCTTGGCCTCAAGGCAACTGATTAACTTCCCTTTAAAGGGAGAGGTGGCACGGGGTGGAAGTTATAAACATAGAGTTCAGAGTCAGACAAGAGCCAGGTCTGAATCCTGATTCTGAGGCTGATGGCTGTGTGACTCTGAGTAAGTCACTTCACCTCTCTGAACCTCAGTGTTTCCCCTGTCCTGCTTCACTGCCAGCCTCATTGCAAGCTGCCCAGGAGGCAGCACCCAGCAAGGCCCTTGGCAAACGGTTCTTACTGGTAGCTGAGGTTGGCTCCCCTCCCTCACCCACTCCACAAGAGGCCAGGCCTTCCCTTCCTTCCGTGACTCACCCATCCACTTCCACCGAAGCTCACCTGGCACCACAGAGAAGAAGGGACACCTGCCTCATCCAATGGGATCAGAGCAGAAAGGGATGGGGAGACAGATGTCACCCTGGGCCAGATTGTGCCTCTTGAGCTATTGTTCTATGCAGCTGAGTGACAGATGAGCCAGGCCTCAGAGACGAGGGAAGGGTCCCTTGGGAACAAAGGGCTAGGCTTTAAGTTATTCACCAGCGCATTGAACCTGCACAATGAGCCCAGAGCTCCAGAAACACAGCCAAGAATCACCCAGGAGGCCACCAACAGCTCAGTGGAAAGAAAAGCAAATTACCAAGTATGTGTGCAAGAACCAGGTGCATCGTAAGTGAACAGGGCTGGGGCCCGGTGGTGCACGGTGACATCAGCTATCTTTACAGCACCTACCATGTATCAGTCACCTCACACACATTGGCCCACAGCCTCACAGCAGTCCCTGAAATGGGGTCATGATTCCTTCCCATTTTACAGATGAGGAGACTGAGTCTCACAGGAGGGAAATGACCCAGATGGAGAGAAGGACTCACAGATTTGTGACTCTCCACTCCTTCTCTGACCCCCGCGGTGCCCTGCGTGGATGAATCAACTCCCAAAGAAGAATCCTGCCCTGGGAAGAAGCATGGACCAGGTCTGGGAAAGGGAACGGAAACTGTCGGTGGGGGGAGGGGAGGGATGGAAATGATTGGCAGGCGGGCAAGTGGGAAGCTGAGGAGTAGAGCACGTTCCTCTCCTGCAGGAACCGCTAGCGTCTCTTACAATGATTTCTGCAAAGATCATAATATCACAAAGAGATAGAGCTGATGTCACCCTGTCAAGCAGAACACATACAGTTCAGTGTCAGTGATTATTCCCAGTCATAGAGAACAGATCAGAGAGAAATGCAAGAAAATGGAGATTTCTTCCCTTGTGTTTGACTTTGTCAAATCTTCAGTAATTACGAAGTTCATTAAATTTACTAGATCTGTACCCAAAATAATCACCAAAAAATAAAAATAACTCATTTTTAATGCAAACAGAGAGAGTAATTCTCCTAAAGCGGATGACACAGGGTTATGGCGCCTTTGGAGGACTCTGAGGGGTGGGGAGGCCGGCTAAGATGGCTTGGAAGATGTGGGGTAGATTTGGGAACCGCTCTCAAGCGGCCCTGGAGAATCACACAGGCAGGGAGGGGGGCGGGGGGCGGCTGGAGGTGACCTGAAATCAAGCAAAACTCAAGGTGGGACGGGTTCCATGTCCCTCAAAGCTAGGAGATGGTAAAGTGGCCGGAGGAAAGCGTTTGCCCAGACGGCTGCCCGGTCCGGGCTGGGGGTGCGCGCCTTTCCGACCACCTGCCGGCTGCGGAGGAGGAGGAGGGGCCGCGAGTAAACACCCAGAGGCCCGGCCCCACCCCGAATCTGCTGACGCATCCCCCTGGCCACGTGGCCGAGACATCTGCTTGATGGAAGCAATGCCGCTCAAGTCTGGGCCCGGCGGAGCTCAGGTTTCCCCGTCTGTCAAGTGGAATTACTCATCTGTGCCGGCGTCTCCCCGCCCCCCTTCCCAGGAGATCGCCGCGCACCCAGGTGCTCCCCCAAATACCGACGCGCTTTGGGAAGAAAGCGCGGTGCCCAGAGCGAGGGCTGTGTTCTGGACGGCGCCGAACCCGCGGCTGGCACCGAGCAAAACAAAGCCGCTTCCCGCAAGTTCTCCCCCCCGCCCCGGGCTCCCCCCCCACACTCCCCCCCCCACCTCCCAGCAGGTGGGGGCGATTTCCCCGCCGCCGTACCGCAGTGGGGTGTGCGCGCCAGCAATTCCTGGCGCACCGCAGCCTCTGGTCTGGAGCCTGGGACGAGAGTGGGGAATCCAGAGCTCCTAATCCAGCCTCGGGCTGCACAGTCCGAGAGACAATTTCTCTAGTTTAGGGCCCTGCTTTGAAGAAAAGAGATCTGATCCCTTCCCTCCCAAATTCCCAGCCTCTACAGCAAGCGTACTAGAGCCAGGAGAGATGGGGAGTAAAGCGAGTGGGTCCCGGCGTCTGGGGGGGGGGGGGCTTTTAAAGGTGCAAATGGCTTTAGAGTCCGTCATGTCTGGACTCAAAATCACTGCTGTGTGACCTTGGATGGGTCGCTAAACCTCTCTGGATCTCCATTTCCTCGTCTTTAAAATGGGGTTCTTGCCACCTCGTGGGACTGTTGTGATAATGCATGCGGAGCACCGAGCAGGCTTCGGGCACAGAGTAACTGCCCCACAAACTGATGTGGAATCTTTCATCATGAACAATGTCGTTATTATTATTCTCTGAGATGGATGACCGGCCCTCTCTATCCTTTTGGAACCGCATTGGATGCTAAACCTCTGGGATCTGAGTCCCAGAAGTGAAGGAATGGCAGGCGCTGGGGGTGGGGGGCTGGGTATGCAGGAAGGGGAGCTGAAGGACCCCGCCCCGCCACCCCACCCTGCAGTTCCAAGACTACTTGGGCTCAATCGCTGGCTTGGCCAGCTACCTACTCCTGGTGGTCAGAGGTGTTGGGGTCCTCCACCCTCGCGTTTGTCTGGTCCTGGGGGGAATGGGAGAGTCTTTGTTCCCCCCTCTGATCACGACTGCAAGGGCCCCCTCCTCCCCGGACACCCAGCGCTTTTCCCCTTCCCCTCCCCACGCCCCAGCCGGGCTGGAGACTTGGCCGCAGGGACAACCGCAGGCTGGGCGCCTCTTCATCCATCAAATGCGGGGCGCTCCAGACGGCGTTTGTCACCCCCTGGACCCTGCGCTGGGAACGTGGGACCTGGGAGGATTAAGCCACAGCCCGCGCGGGGACTAGGATCTTGGCGAGCGAGGCTGTCTAGACGGGGCCCGGCTTACCTGGGGTCCGCGGTCCTGCGGCGGAGTGCAGAGGGCTTTGTGCCCCGGCTCACAGTGCAGAACTGGGGGAGCCCCTGCAAGCGCCTCCCATCGCAAACTCCTCCCCGCGCTCGTCCGCAGCCTCCCTCCCTCCGGTCCCCGGGCGCAGCCGGCGTCGTCTTTGTAGCTGCTGCGGCGCCCATGAAATTTTAATGCGGGAGCGGCTGCCCGGCGCAGGCGCCCCACCCCGCCCTCGCCTCTGCCCCCCTCCCGCTCCCCGCGCCCCTGCCGCCCCGCGCTCGCTCCCCGTCCTCCGGCCCCAGAGTCCCGGGCCCCGGAGGCGAGGTGCTGCCGGGCCTGGGTGGGGGAGCGCGCCGCCGCCCCCACAGCACAAAGGGGCGAGCTGGGCGGTGCGCTCAGCCTCCGGCATCCCAGCCCGCGGCGCTGCCATGGCAACGCGGCAGGGCCGGACTCGGCCGGCGAGAGCTCGGGCTGGGTAGGCGCGCTCGGGCTGGAAGCGTGCACACCTGGGGACAGAAACCTGAACCCAGCGTTAAAAGGAGGGAAGGGAGAGGTCCTGGCGCGCCGAGGGTTGAAGCCGCGAGGCTCGGGGTGGGCCTCTAGGGTAACCTTGCTGGATGGGCACCTGGGTGCAGCGGAGCCAAGATGGGACCCAGGTGTGTGACTTCACTCTGGGGCTCTGCCCCTGATACACACAGACGCTCAGAGTTTTAACTTCCCTCTCCTTAATCCCTAGTCTCTTCTAAGACAGGGAGACTGAAAACTGGCCCTGGAGTGTGATTCTGCTGACACTCTGTCCAGCACCAACCGCGTCATCTGGGAAAATGGTAGAAATGCAAAATCTGGGGTGGCCCGATGCTCCTGACTCGGACACTCTAAGACCAGAGATCCACATTTTAACAGGACCCCCAGGGAATTCTAATGCACGTGCAAGCTGGAGAACCACTTTGCCAGAACATTCCATTGGTCTCTAGAACCAGACTGGGTTTGAATTTCAATGTGTCCCTGCACCAACCAGGTGTGACCTGGGACTCGGTTTCTATTCCTTCAAGTGGAAATAATAAAGCAAAATCCACATAATATCGTGTGGACTAAATAAGGGAGGGTCCTCAGCACAGTGACTGGCGCTTATCAAGGGCTCAGAACATTTTTATTAGTACACTGGTCACCTCCTTTCATTTTCAGGCTGTGGTGTCTATGGTATCATCATCATTGCTCAGATAAAGTGACAATGAGAAACAATGACGGCTGTTCACTGATGCTGTTAAGAGACCGGGGTGGGTTTGAGCTCATCCTTACAGTTCCATCTTCTTTACCGCACATCTTGCTGGGACCCACCAGCCTGGTCTTCAGAATATCCAAACCCGTTTTGACACAACTACAGCTCATTTTTGTGTGTGTGTGTGGGGGGGGGGGTGGAAGTAGTTATAGGAATTGAACCCAGGGCCCTCCACCACTGAGCCTATCCCCAGCCCTATTCTGTGTTTTATTTAGAGACAGGGTCTCACTGAGTTGCTTAGGGCCTCACCATTGCTGAGGCTGGCTTTGAACTCCTGCCTCAGCCTCCAGAGCTGCTGGGATGACAGGCGTGCTTCACCGCACCAGCTCCTATAAGCTCACTTCTAACACACCTGGCCCACACCCATGCAGGGACCTCGAAGGCACAGGGGAGCCCTCAGATCCAGCATCCACCCTGGCAGTGTCGAGGGTCAGAAGGACCCCCAGGAAACAGAGCGAAATCAAGGAAGACTGTGCAGCCCGCCCACCCATCATCCCCACCCAGGCTCGTGACCTCCCCTCAGTCGCCACTCTAGTTTCCCCATCTGCAAACCAAAAACAGAGTGGGGTCTGGCATGGCGCTCTCCATGCACACAGAAGACGCACACGGCTCACCGCTTTCTCTATTGAGTATATCCCCAAGTCACTTGTTCAAAATCTGTTCCCAAACTCTGTTGAGGATCAACCCATCATTTCAAAGATGAATTTGGAAAAACAAAATCCAGCCACTTGCCCTCCTCCAAACTTACAATAACACTTCTGTTGCCTGGGGCTTCTTAAAGGAGGGTGGTAATGAATCCTAGTTGGTCCTAGAGATGTCTTTTCAGGACAGCAGGAATGGCCAACAGAGGGGACCATTAGAAGGTTCTGTGGGGCCCCTGTGTCTAACTCAGGAGGACTTAGAGGGAGCCGTAAAGTGAGCAATGCAAGAAGGGAACAGACTCCCACATCCTTCAGACCCCCGAAACCAGCCTGGGCCAGCCTGGCTGTCATCTGTCCCAGTTTTCTAACACACACACTTCTTCATGCTGGGAAGATGGAACTGAGTCTCCTCGGGGATCCAGGTGGTCCTTTGACTTCCTTGGGTCCACCTGTGAGTGCCTCTGTGGTGAGTCAAACTTCCCTAGTGTCCTCTGTTCTCCTAAGGAGAGTTGGGGACTTTGAGTGACCTCCTTCATTTCCTTTGGGCTTGGGGCACTGGCACAACTACCTCTGGGATTTGCAAATTCAAAAGCTAGAACTGTTTCCCTCTCACATCCCCATCCGTGTGACTCTGACCCTCACCTTATGGCTAGAGCAGACCCAGGACATGGAAGAGCACACCCCAAGTCACAGACGCCATCCTCCCCACAACTGGCCAGGAGCTCGGCCTCGCGGGAGATGTTTATGGGTGACACTAACTTGAGCCCCCGGAGCCTTGAGCAGATAAAAGAGCATCCCAAAGAGACTCGACAGTGTTCTCCTTCTGCCTTCTTGAAGGTGACTTGAGCCACTTCTTATGGAGGGTTGGTTGTCGTGACAACAGAGGAAGGCATCAGCAAAGACGCACTTCAGAATCAAGTTTTCACCTGTAAGTGGACCTATCACCTCCCCCAACCCCAGGAGGCACCATGGCTTCCTGGACCTGCAGGCGAGATGGCCTTCGAGTTCACCATACCCCCTGCAACCCGAGGGAGAATGCTGACCCTGCCAGTACGGCCAGGAAAGGGGTCTCCCTAGAGAGGTGTCCCCTCGGGAGTGGACACACTCTCCAGCAATCTCATCAGCTCCCAAACTTCCCTACCCCTCCCTCCCCCGAGAATCACCTTCAGATGCAGTGAACTTGACCCATGGATGCCATCGTGAGTGCTTTACCCTTGGTCCCTCCCAGAACCCCCTGAGAGAGTATTGGTATCACCTCCAACACACCAGGAGGTGAGATCAGAGTAGGAAAGTGGCTCCCCCGGAGTCAGCCAGCCAGCAGGGAAGCTGGGACAGGACCCAGAGCTCTGGGACTGCAAAAGCCGTGCTCAGAATCTCGGGCCGCTCTTTGCATTCATGCCCCGTCATCCTGCCCCGGGAAGGGGAGGCACTGCCCCATGGCCAGCTGCACAAGGAGCCCACCACCACGCTGGGCGCCTTCTGGCTGCACTCAGGGCCCTGCCTGCCCTGGGCGGGACCGAGGCTGAAGCAGCTCTTCCTCTGTCTAGAAGGAACACCCTTGGTTCATGTTGCATTTTAATCACACGTGACAGTGGCTCCTGCAACGCATCCACACACGCACCTAGCACAACGTGATCGATCCCCACACCATCCCTCCCCTTCCCTCCCCCTCCGTCCACTGCCCTTCTCTCTTCTTCCCTCCACTTTCATGAGAGTCACCAGATCACAGGATCTTTAGCTTTCTTGTGTCTGGCTTAGCTCCTTCTGTGTGATGTTCCCAGTTCCACCCATTTCTGCAAAGCACATCACCTCACTCTGTGACTGAGTGGACCCCGCGGTGGAGGCGCACCTCATTTTCCTCATCCGTCCATCTCTTGATGGACGCCTGGGCCGGTTCCGTGACTTGGCGGTTGTGAATGAACTGGTATAAATATGTCTCAAATAGGTTGCTGTAGTCAGCTTTTTTTGCTGCTGTGACTAAAAGTCCCGACCAGAACAATGTAGAGGAGGAAAGGTTTATTGAGGGCTCGTGGTTCAGAGGTCTCAGTCCAGAGACAGCAGGCTCCATTCCTCGGGCTTGAGGTGAGGCAGGACATTGTGGAGGAAGAGGGTGGCCGAGGAGAGCAGCTCACGTGGGGACCAACAGGCAGAGAGACTCCACCCTCCAGATACCAAATACACACCCAAGAGTCACACCCCCAACACCACCCCCTCCAGCCACCCCCCACCTGCCTCCATAACCACTCGGTTAATCCCATCAGAGATTAACCGAGGTCGCTGATTAGGTTAAGGCTCTGGTCCAATCATTTCTCCTCCAAACCATCTGGCACTGTCTTACATGTGACCTTTTGGGGGACACCTTCCATCCAAACCACAACACTTGCTGACTTTAATTCTCAGGGACGAGTACCAAGGAGGGGTGCAGGTGGGTCCCAGGGAGTTCCCATTCCTGATCTTTTGAGGAACCTCTCATGACCTCTGTGCACACACCCTGTGTCTCTTTCTCTTCTTCGAAGGACACTAGGGTCCCACCCTTATGACCTCATTATACCTCTTTTTTTTTTAGACATATTTAAGTCTTTTCACATTTTTTTAATATTTATTTTTTTTTTTAGTTTTCGGCGGACACAACATCTTTGTATGTGGTGCTGAGGATCGAACCCATGCCGCATGCATGCCAGGCGACCTTGCTACAGCTTGAGCCACATCCCCAGCCCTCATTATACTCTTTAAAGTCTCCATGTCTAAGTACATTACTGGTTAAAGCTTGAACGTGGGGACTTGGGAAGGAGACCACAATTGAGTCCATAACTATGAGCAAGTTCTGGGAACAACTAGGACCGAGTCCTCCTGCGGTCCTCTGGGAGTCTGTGTGAGACTTGCCCACCTAAGGTGAAGGGAGCCACGATTCTTACCTTCCAACTGTCACCTGTCAGGTTGAAGGACGTTCCTGGTGCACTGACCCCTTGCCACCTGCAGGCTGCTCCAGGCACAGACAGACCACGTGCCCTTGGCTGGAGAAAGCCATCAGCAAGGAGCTGCAGGAGCCTGCATTAGGGTGTGTCTGGGGAGGTGTCAGGGGACATCCTCCATGGGGACAGGGGATTGTCTGTGGCCCCATGACCCCTACACGGCCCAGCCTTCCCCAGTAGAGCCAACCCTAAGTCCAACCTGAGGCCTACCTGGTTTGAGAAGCTTCCACCCATTACCTGCCAACCTGG